CAACTGAGGAGGATGTGGAGAAGCTCCTAAGTGACCTTGATACCTGAAAGGTGGTGGGACCGCACAACATCTCTCCGTGGGTCATTAGAGAGGGAGCAGGGACACTACGTGTGCCACTAACCAAAATCTAAATACTAAATTATAGACCAGTGTCACTGACATGTATAGTATGCAAAGTCTTGGAAAAGATTATCAGGAGGAGAGTGGTGGAGCACCTGGAGCAGAACCAGATTATAAACGGCAGCCAGCACGGATTCATGGAAGACAAATCCTGTGTCACAAACCTACTAGAGTTTTATGACAAGGTAATTGAAGTAAGAAATGAGAGGGAGGGGTGGGATGATTGCATTTTCTTGGACTGCAAGAAGGCCTTCGACACAGTTCCTCACAAGAGATTAGTACAGAAGCTAGAGGAACAGGCACGTACAACAGGAAGGGCACTGCAATGAATCAGAGAATACCTAACATGGAGGCAACAGCGAGTCATGGTCCGTGATGAGGTATCACAGTGGACGCCGGTGACGAGTGGGGTCCCACAGGGGTCAGTCCTGGGACCAGTGCTATTCTTGGTATATGTAAACATGACGGAAGGGATAGCTCAGAAGTGTCCCTGTTTGCAGATGATGTGAAGTTAATGAGGAGAATTAAATCAGATGCGGACCAGACAGGACTACAAAGAGACCTGGACAGGCTGGACGTGTGGTCCAGAAACTAGCTCCTAGAATTTAACCCCGCCAAATGCAAAGTCATGAAGATCAGAGGAGGGCAAAGAAGGCCGCAGACAGAGTATAGGCTAGGAGGCCAAAGGCTGCAAACCTCACTCAAGGAGAAAGACCTAGGAGTGAGTATAATACTGAGTACATCGCCAGAAGCACACATTAACCAGATAACTGCTGTGGCATATGGGTGCTTGGCAAACCTGAGAATAGCATTCCAGTATCTCAGTAAGGAATTGTTCAAGACTTTATACACTGTGTACGTCAAGCCCATACTGGAGTATGCAGCACCAGTTTGGAACCCACACCTGGTCAAATACGTCACGAAATTAGAGAAAGTGCAAAGGTTTGCAACAAGGCTAGTTCCAGAGCTAAGGGTAATGTCCTATGAAGAAAGGTTAAGGGAAATCGGTTTGACGGCACTGGAAGACAGGAGGGGCAGGGAAGACATGATAACGAAATACAAAATACTGCATGGAATAGACAAGGTGGACAGAGACAGGATGTTCCAGAGATGGGACACAGAAACATGGGGTCACAATTGGAAGCTGAAGACTCAGATGAGTCAAAGGGATGTTAGGAAGTATTTCTTCAGTCATAGAGTAGTTAGGAAGTGGAATAGTCTGGCAAGTGTTGTAGTGGGGGCAGGAACTATACATAGTTTTAAGACAAGGTATGATAAACCTCATGGAGCAGGGGGAGAGAGGACCTAGTAGTGGTCGGTGAAGAGGAGGGGCCAGAAGCTGAGTCTCAACCCCTGCAACCACAGTTAGGTGAGTACCTACAAGTGTAACTACTGTGCCTACAAGTGTGACTACTGTACCTATAAGTGTGACTACTGTACCTACAGTGTGACTACTGTTCCTACAAGTGTGACTACTCTACCTATAAGTGTGACTACTGTACCTACAGGTGCACACACTGTACCTGCAAGTGTAAACACTGTACCTAAAAGTGTAACTACTGTACCTACAAGTGTAACTACTGTACCTGCAAGTGTGACTACTGTACCTACAAGTGTAACTACTGTACCTGCAAGTGTGACTACTGTACCTACAAGTGTAACTACTGTACCTACAAGTGTAACTACTGTACCTACAAGTGTGACTACTGTACCTACAAGTGTAACTACTGTACCTACAAGTGTGACTACTGTACCTACAAGTGTAACTACTGTACCTACAAGTGTAACTACTGTACCTACAAGTGTGACTACTGTACCTACAAGTGTAACTACTGTAATTACAAGTGTGACAACTGTACCTACAAGTGTAACTACTGTACCTACAAGTGTGACACCTGTACCTACAAGTGTAACTACTGTACCTACAAGTGTGACAACTGTACCTACAAGTGTAACTACTGTACCTACAAGTGTGACTACTGTACCTACAAGTGTAACTACTGTAATTACAAGTGTGACAACTGTACCTACAAGTGTAACTACTGTACCTACAAGTGTAACTACTGTACCTACAAGTGTAACTACTGTACATGCAAGTGTAACTACTGTACATGCAAGTGTAACTACTGTAACTACAAGTGTGACTACTGTACCTGCAAGTGTAACTACTGTACATGCAAGTGTAACTACTGTACCTACAAGTGTAACTACTGTACCTACAAGTGTAACTACTGTACCTACAAGTGTAACTACTGTACCTACAAGTGTAACTACTGTACCTGCAAGTGTAACTACTGTACCTACATGTGTAACTACTGTACCTACAAGTGTAACTACTGTACCTACAAGTGTAACTACTGTACCTACATGTGTAACTACTGTACCTACAAGTGTAACTACTGTACCTACAAGTGTAACTACTGTACCTACAAGTGTAACTACTGTACCTACATGTGTAACTACTGTACCTACAAGTGTAACTACTGTACCTACAAGTGTAACTACTGTACCTACAAGTGTAACTACTGTACCTGCAAGTGTAACTACTGTACCTACATGTGTAACTACTGTACCTGCAAGTGTGACTACTGTACCTGCAAGTGTGACTACTGTACCTGCAAGTGTAACTACTGTACCTGCAAGTGTGACTACTGTACCTGCAAGTGTAACTACTGTACCTGCAAGTGTAACTACTGTACCTACAAGTGTAACTACTGTACCTGCAAGTGTGACTACTGTACCTGCAAGTGTAACTACTGTACCTACAAGTGTAACTACTGTACCTACAAGTGTAACTACTGTACCTGCAAGTGTGACTACTGTACCTGCAAGTGTAACTACTGTACCTGCATGTGTGACTACTGTACCTGCAAGTGTAACTACTGTACCTGCAAGTGTAACTACTGTACCTGCAAGTGTGACTACTGTACCTGCAAGTGTAACTACTGTACATGCAAGTGTAACTACTGTACATGCAAGTGTAACTACTGTAGCTACAAGTGTAACCACTGTACATGCAAGTGTAACTACTGTACCTGCAAGTGTAACTACTGTACCTGCAAGTGTAACTACTGTACCTGCAAGTGTAACTACTGTACCTGCAAGTGTAACTACTGTACCTGCAAGTGTGACTACTGTACCTGCAAGTGTAACTACTGTACCTGCAAGTGTAACTACTGTACCTGCAAGTGTGACTACTGTACCTGCAAGTGTAACTACTGTACCTGCAAGTGTAACTACTGTACCTGCAAGTGTGACTACTGTACCTGCAAGTGTAACTACTGTACCTGCAAGTGTAACTACTGTACCTACAAGTGTAACTACTGTACAGGCAAGTGTAACTACTGTACATGCAAGTGTAACTACTGTACCTGCAAGTGTAACTACTGTACCTACAAGTGTAACTACTGTACCTACAAGTGTAACTACTGTACATGCAAGTGTAACTACTGTACCTGCAAGTGTAACTAATGTACCTGCAAGTGTAACTACTGTACCTACAAGTGTAACTACTGTACATGCAAGTGTAACTACTGTACATGCAAGTGTAACTACTGTACCTGCAAGTGTAACTAATGTACCTGCAAGTGTAACTACTGTACCTACAAGTGTAACCACTGTACATGCAAGTGTAACTACTGTACCTACAAGTGTGACTACTGTACCTACAAGTGTGACTACTGTACCTGCAAGTGTGACTACTGTACCTACAAGTGTAACTACTGTACCTACAAGTGTGACTACTGTACCTACAAGTGTGACTACTGTACCTGCAAGTGTGACTACTGTACCTACAAGTGTAACTACTGTACCTACAAGTGTGACTACTGTACCTGCAAGTGTGACTACTGTACCTACAAGTGTAACTACTGTACCTACAAGTGTGACTACTGTACCTACAAGGGAGACTACTGTACCTACAAGCGTGACTACTGTACCTACAAGCGTAACTACTGTACCTACAAGTGTGACTACTGTACCTGCAAGTGTAACTACTGTACCTACAAGTGTAACTACTGCACCTACAAGTGTAACTACTGTACCTGCAAGTGTAACTACTGTACCTGCAAGTGTGACTACTGTACCTACAAGTGTGACTACTGTACCTACAAGTGTAACTACTGTACCTACAAGTGTGACTACTGTACCTACAAGTGTGACTACTGTACCTACAAGTGTGACTACTGTACCTACAAGTGTGACTACTGTACCTACAAGTGTGACTACTGTACCTACAAGTGTGACTACTGTACCTACAAGTGTAACTACTGTACCTAAAAGTGTGACTACTGTACCTACAAGTGTGACTACTGTACCTACAAGTGTGACTACTGTACCTACAAGTATAACTACTGTACCTACAAGTGTAACTACTGTACCTACAAGTGTAACTAATGTACCTACAAGTGTGACTACTGTACCTGCAAGTGTAACTACTGTACCTACAAGTGTAACTACTGTACCTGCAAGTGCAAACACTGTGCTTGAAAGTGTAAACATTGTACCTGCAAGTATAAACACTGTATCTACAAATGTAACGCTGTATCTACAAGTGTAAACACTGTATCTACAAGTGCAATTTTTTTTTATTAACACATCGGTCATTTCTCACCAAGGCAGGGTGGTCGGATAAAGAAAAACTTTCATCATCATTTACTCCATCACTGTCTTGCCAGAGGTGTGCTTACACTACAATTATAAAACTGCAACATTAACACCCCTCCTTCAGAGTGCAGACACTGTACTTCCCATCTCCAGGACTCAGGTCCGGCCTGCCGGTTTCCCTGAATCCCGTCATAAATGTTTCCTTGCTCATTAAATTTTAATCATACTTGCAAGTGCAAATATGATTAAAATTTAATTTAGAATAATGTGCTTACCCATGGCAAAACCATCATCAGTGAATGCAGCTCCTGTCCTGTTCTTCTTGCTCATGTTGTCTTTAGCAGCCAGGGAATGTTCTACAAAGTTGACTGTCATGGCAGGAATGATGAGGTAGAAGTTCTTAAGATGACTGTTTTTGTTGTCACGGAGAGCTGGAGCAAACACATCCACTAGAAGCTGATCAAACACAGTCAAAAAAACAACATTTATTAATATATTACAACAGTACTCATACAATTACAATGGTCAACAACCAAAATGCCCCGGAGACCAGAGTAGAAATTTCCAACTAATTTTAGGTTACTGATAATGAATATCATAGTTAAAATTGTTTGTTAACTCTACTTATCAATATACACCTACGTGTCACAACAGGTTCTAAGAGGCTTGCGGCAGTGTGTTTCTTACCACACTCATAGTCTCACTGCCCTTCATTATTGTTCCAGCAGTCATAGAAGGTGGTTGTGATTTACATGCTTATACAGTGGACCCCCGCATAACGATCACCTCCGAATGCGACCAATTATGTAAGTGTATTTATGTAAGTGCGTTTGTACATGTATGTTTGGGGGTCTGAAATGGACTAATCTACTTCACAATATTCCTTATGGGAACAAATTCGGTCAGTACTGGCACCTGAACATACTTCTGGAGTGAAAAAATATCGTTAACCGGGGGTCCACTGTATTTTGAGGAGAAAGATAGGTGATTTTCTTAGCCAAACACCTTTTAAACTTATAATAAATATTCACTGAGCATGCTACTGATATGCATGTGAGGCCAGAGGCATGAGGTGGCCAGTCTCTCCTGAGACTGGCCACCTCATCAATCACTGGAGCCTGGGATAAAAAAAATGTTCAACATCCATCTCTCATTAAACCAAACAAAATTTTGCTACCACCACTACACATAAAACTGGGACTCATGAAAAACAATAAAAGCTATGGAGAAATCCAGTCAGGGATTCAAGTATTTAACATAAAAATTCCCTCACTGAGTGATGCTAAGATAAGAGGGAGTCTTCAATGGTCCTCAGATCCGAGAGCTTCTTAACCCTTTGACTGCCGCAGGCTCCTTTCTGAAACCGTCATTCTATGTCGATAAATTTTTGGGAAAAAAAATAATTATTTTTTCTTATGAAATGATAGAGAATCTTTTCTCGATGGTAATAACACCAAAAATACGAAATTTGGTCGAAAACTCATGGAATTATGCTCCCGCGAAGTTAGTGATCTCGGCGACATATACGCAGTGGTGATTTTGCCAACTTTGAGCCCTGTTTTTGGCCAATTCTGTTGTTCCAGTTGACCCAACTCATAACTATTTCTTTAGAATTCCATTTTTTCTATCAGTTGAGTACAAGAAACTGCCCATTTACCGGTTTGAACTACCCAATAAAGTGGTCAGAAATTGGCAATTTGGCCAATTTCACGCAAATTAAAAAAGATGCCAATTTCAAAATAGGGTCCAGAATAAACAATGTAGACATTCTTGGCACTAAAATAACATATCCTCTGTTCATTAGTCATATCTCTAGGCCCTTCTTATATTACTATTGCTTTCTATTTTGATTTTTTATTCATACAAAAAAATACAAAATTTACTGTTATTACCTGGAGTTTACCTGGAGAGAGTTTCGGGGGTCAACGCCCCCGCGGCCCAGTCTGTGACCAGGCCTCCTGGTGGATCAGCGCCTGATCAACCAGGCTGTTGCTGCTGGCTGCACGCAAACCAACGTACGAGCCACAGCCCGGCTGATCAGGAACTGACTTTAGGTGCTTGTCCAGTGCCAGCTTGAAGACTGCCAGGGGTCTGTTGGTAATCCCCCTTAGTAGTTTCAAACTGGTTCTATGATTTCAGGAATTGTACAGTGTTGGCATAGTTACATTGTACAGTGTTGGCAGAGTTACATTGTACAGTGTTGGCAGAGTTACATTGTACAGTGTTGGCAGAGTTACATTGTACAGTGTTGGCAGAGTTACATTGTACAGTGTTGGCATAGTTACATTGTACAGTGTTGGCAGAGTTACATTGTACAGTGTTGGCATAGTTACATTGTACAGTGTTGGCAGAGTTACATTGTACAGTGTTTACCTGGAGTTTACCTGGAGAGAGTTTCGGGGGTCAACGCCCCTGCGGCCCGGTCTGTGACCAGGCCTCCTGGTGGATCAGCGCCTGATCAACCAGGCTGTTGCTGCTGGCTGCACGCAAACCAACGTATGAGCCACAGCCCGGCTGATCAGGAACTGACTTTAGGTGCTTGTCCAGTGCCAGCTTGAAGACTGCCAGGGGTCTGTTGGTAATCCCCCTTATGTGTGCTGGGAGGCAGTTGAACAGTCTCGGGCCCCTGACACTTATTGTATGGTCTCTTAACGTGCTAGTGACACCCCTGCTTTTCATTGGGGGGATGGTGCATCGTCTGCCAAGTCTTTTGCTTTCGTAGTGAGTGATTTTCGTGTGCAAGTTCGGTACTAGTCCTCTAGGATTTTCCAGGTGTATATAATCATGTATCTCTCCCTCCTGCGTTCCAGGGAATACAGGTTTAGAAACCTCAAGCGCTCCCAGTAATTGAGGTGTTTTATCTCCGTTATGCGCGCCGTGAAAGTTCTCTGTACATTTTCTAGGTCGGCAATTTCACCTGCCTTGAAAGGTGCTGTTAGAGTGCAGCAATATTCCAGCCTAGATAGAACAAGTGACCTGAAGAGTGTCATCATGGGCTTGGCCTCCCTAGTTTTGAAGGTTCTCATTATCCATCCTGTCATTTTTCTAGCAGATGCGATTGATACAATGTTATGGTCCTTGAAGGTGAGATCCTCCGACATAATCACTCCCAGGTCTTTGACGTTGGTGTTTCGCTCTATTTTGTGGCCAGAATTTGTTTTGTACTCTGATGAAGATTTAATTTCCTCATGTTTACCATATCTGAGTAATTGAAATTTCTCATCGTTGAACTTCATATTGTTTTCTGCAGCCCACTGAAAGATTTGGTTGATGTCCGCCTGGAGCCTTGCAGTGTCTGCAATGGAAGACACTGTCATGCAGATTCGGGTGTCATCTGCAAAGGAAGACACGGTGCTGTGGCTGACATCCTTGTCTATGTCGGATATGAGGATGAGGAACAAGATGGGAGCTAGTACTGTGCCTTGTGGAACAGAGCTTTTCACCGTAGCTGCCTCGGACTTTACTCTGTTGACGACTACTCTCTGTGTTCTGTTAGTGAGGAAATTATAGATCCATCGACCGACTTTTCCTGTTATTCCTTTAGCGCGCATTTTGTGCGCTATTACGCCATGGTCACACTTGTCGAAGGCTTTTGCAAAGTCTGTATATATTACATCTGCATTCTTTTTGTCTTCTAGTGCATTTAGGACCTTGTCGTAGTGATCCAGTAGTTGAGACAGACAGGAGCGACCTGTTCTAAACCCATGTTGCCCTGGGTTGTGTAACTGATGGGTTTCTAGATGGGTGGTGATCTTGCTTCTTAGGACCCTTTCAAAGATTTTTATGATATGGGATGTTAGTGCTATTGGTCTGTAGTTCTTTGCTGTTGCTTTACTGCCCCCTTTGTGGAGTGGGGCTATGTCTGTTGTTTTTAGTAATGGGGGACGACCCCGTGTCCATGCTCCCTCTCCATAGGATGGAAAAGGCTCGTGATAGGGGCTTCTTGCAGTTCTTGATGAACACAGAGTTCCATGAGTCTGGCCCTGGGGTAGAGTGCATGGGCATGTCATTTATCGCCTGTTCAAAGTCATTTGGCATCAGGATAACATCGGATAGGCTTGTGTTAATCAAATTTTGTGGCTCTCTCATAAAAAATTCATTTTGATCTTCGACTCTCAGTCTGGTTAGCGGCTTGCTAAAAACCGAGTCATATTGGGACTTGAGTAGCTCACTCATTTCCTTGCTGTCATCAGTGTAGGACCCATCTTGTTTAAGTAGGGGCCCAATACTGGGCGTTGTTCTCGATTTTGATTTGGCATAGGAGACTACTGCAGACTACTGCATTATTGTAAAATTTTTTTTTTTTTTTTATTATCACACCGGCCGATTCCCACCAAGGCAGGGTGGCCCGAAAAAGAAAAACTTTCACCATCATTCACTCCATCACTGTCTTGCCAGAAGGGTGCTTTACACTACAGTTTTTAAACTGCAACATTAACACCCATCCTTCAGAGTGCAGGCACTGTACTTCCCATCTCCAGGACTCAAGTCCGGCCTGCCGGTTTCCCTGAATCCCTTCATAAATGTTACTTTGCTCACACTCCAACAGCACGTCAAGTATTAAAAACCATTTGTCTCCATTCACTCCTATCAAACACGCTCACGCATGCCTGCTGGAAGTCCAAGCCCCTCGCACACAAAACCTCCTTTACCCCCTCCCTCCAACCCTTCCTAGGCCGACCCCTACCCCGCCTTCCTTCCACTACAGACTGATACACTCTTGAAGTCATTTTGTTTCGCTCCATTCTCTCTACATGTCCGAACCACCTCAACAACCCTTCCTCAGCCCTCTGGACAACAGTTTTGGTAATCCCGCACCTCCTCCTAACTTCCAAACTACGAATTCTCTGCATTATATTCACACCACACATTGCCCTCAGACATGACATCTCCACTGCCTCCAGCCTTCTCCTCGCTGCAACATTCATCACCCACGCTTCACACCCATATAAGAGCGTTGGTAAAACTATACTCTCATACATTCCCCTCTTTGCCTCCAAGGACAAAGTTCTTTGTCTCCACAGACTCCTAAGTGCACCACTCACTCTTTTTCCCTCATCAATTCTATGATTCACCTCATCTTTCATAGACCCATCCGCTGACACGTCCACTCCCAAATATCTGAATACGTTCACCTCCTCCATACTCTCTCCCTCCAATCTGATATTCAATCTTTCATCACCTAATCTTTTTGTTATCCTCATAACCTTACTCTTTCCTGTATTCACCTTTAATTTTCTTCTTTTGCACACCCTACCAAATTCATCCACCAATCTCTGCAACTTCTCTTCAGAATCTCCCAAGAGCACAGTGTCATCAGCAAAGAGCAGCTGTGACAACTCCCACTTTGTGTGTGATTCTTTATCTTTTAACTCCACGCCTCTTGCCAAGACCCTCGCATTTACTTCTCTTATTGTAAAAATGGTATAAATAATATCAGTGCACTAATGAAAGAA